CTTGAATCTCTTTAAAGAGAACGAGATATCCGCACCTTAACCTAATTGATTACGTTTTTGTTTCTCAATATTTACTTAAATTGACTATTTTATTTGTAATTTTCCCCAAAATTTTAGGGAGATTCTACATCAGTTTTTGTTTTCGAAACTTAACCCAAAAACCAAGACCATTTGGTTAATTATTGACAATTATAGGTTTGATTCCATAATAATTTTGTTTCTTGGTGGGTGTAATTTGTAAAAATTTAGCTTATTTACTAACCATTTCAATTGCTTATTTTTGGTTTCTTAAAAAAACACTTTCGCAATTTTATCCAAATTTCACGAAATTCTTTTGCAAACCGAAACCTAAAAGGTAAAAATCATAATCAAACAAACCCTATAAACTCTCCGATATCATAATTGAATCAACAAATCATCCAACAACAACACACGAGCAATTAATTACCTCAATGATTTCGACACTTGTAGGGGGTTGGAACATCAATTGCAAGACAAAATCAAAAGTTATTCTAGACAATATAAAAAGGTTGAAAGGAAAAAGTAATTTTGATTATTCCTTTGAGCTAGATTGAATATATAGTTCTCTTTTGCCCTTCTAGAAAAACAAAGACTTGGTTAAATTTCAGCATTGTTTTTGGTACATATATATATATACTTGATAAGATGCCTCCCATCCCATACATATATGTAATTCAAATTCCATTTTGGGGCATAAAAGAGAGTACATAGAGAAGACCATTTGCTAGCTTTTAAGGATGTTTTAGGTGAAAGAGTCTCAATCATGATCAGCCCAAAGGTAACATCCTAGGGACTCACTTTTAGCCCACCAAACCCATGCACAATTTTTCAAGGCTTTCAAACCACACACACACATTAGCTTTATGCCCTCATTTGAATTAAAAAATTGCAAAATTTAATTTGTGAATATTTGATTATCAAATTTGAAATGAGCGTAGTTCAACGGTTAAGGTAGGTGGGGATTCGAAATCGCAAGCTCTGTAAACAATCCAACACTGCCAACAATAACTCATCAGCAGCCACTGCCACATCAACCAACAATAACTGTCATTTCAGCCAACGAACAACTCAACATCATAATTGGACATGCATCAAGTCAATCAGATTACAGTAACATCAGGAAAATTAAAGCCAATTAATTCCCTACTTAGTTGGCCTTTATAGTTTTAATTTTTCCTCATAAATTACTGATTCTCTTTCTAAAAGTGTGCACTAATTTTGTGCCTTTCAACCATGTGTAATATAGAAAGGTTTTGAGCAAGCTTTGCTTAGGCAATTTTTCTGTAACATTTTGGAAATTCAATGACAGAGGAATTTTTCAATTTTCTATCAAAGGGTTCAAAACCTTTTAAGCTCTTATATGTCAATTACCGCGGAGCAATGCTGCATTTGGCATAGATTATATATGAGTTTGTATCTAGAAACTTGTTAAACTAAGCTATATTAGTTGTGAGTTTGGAAATTTGAACCAGACCCAACTAGTGCGTTTATCGATATTAATTGAGGAGGAAATAAAATTGTAACAATTTAAATGTAAGATATCCATATTTTGATACTATGTTAAATTGTTACTAAATCGACCCAAAGCTTTTTTTTTTTAATTCACAAAAGCTTGAGTTGATAGATTAAGGTATATTTAATCTTTTATATTTATTATTGACAAAAATAGTTAAAAGTAGGTTAAATAACATCTATTATTGGATCGTGCTTCTACTTAGTTCTATTGTTGATATCATTAACTAAATTTATTTAGTTGGCTCCAAGTGACAAATTGACAAACTATAAATATGTTATGTTAGCATTATGCCTTCTATTATTAATGGTGTGTTAACACATGACTAAATAGATATGTAATCTAAAATTCATAGACATATAATTGAAAATTTTTAAATTTTACGGTCTAAATTAACACTACGTTCAAACATTAAAGACAAAGTTTATAGTTTAATATTAGAAATATTTCCTACATTTTTTTAAATGGTACAAATAATTGTTCATTTGGTTAATTAAATATAGTTAGCTGACACTTCTAWTTTTTAATAAATTTAGACAATTTAAGCATGAAAAGAAAACGAAGTTTAGATGATTTTTTTTTTTTTTTGGTAAAACTATAATTTTGAGCAACGACTTTATTTGTTGCATGCCAATTATTGATTGAATCTTCTTTTCTTTGTAATTAATTGACTAATTATCAATAATTGATTACTATTATTATATACCTTTTAGTAAAGGCCGTTTAATGATTAATATTTCTGTCTTCTAAAAGTAGCTTTGGTTACTACAAGCTAATTTGATATTGATATGGATGTATTTTTTTATGCTTTTAATAATTTATGTAACTTTGTTCATGATATTAGTTTTCTTTGTTTTGAAATCATTAAAAAACAAAACAAGGAGAAAAAAGTAAAATTTTGAAAACCAAACAATAATATTTTTGTTTCTATTTTTGTTTTATTTTAAAAAATATATTGTTCAACTAACAAGTTCTTTGGTCAAGAATTATCACTTTCAATTTCTATAATTTCTAAAACAACCATCTCTTATGGTTTTTTTTTTTTAACAATTTGATTAGATTTAAAATGCTCTTGAAAAAATTACTAATAGAATAATATAATATAAGCAAAGTTTGTAGAAATAGAAATTTAAAAGAGAAATAGAAATGAAATAAATCCCCCATTTCCAAAAATCAAGTTTCCATTTTGAAATTTAGCCCTAAGATTTAAAAATGATTTCAGAGAGTGAACAATTAAAGAAATATTGGTAGTAACTGTTAGAATCCATATAAATGAATTAAATTTATCCATCGACTTAAGTTTTTGGGTTGAGTAGTGATTTATTATTATGAGTAACAAATTAAGTTTTCCAAATGAAAAAAAGGAAAACATAATAAGAAAATAAAATTATTATCAAAGATATGTTTTTTTTATTGGTCACTATTTAAAAATATTTCAAAAGTTGAAGCCAAAAATTAAACAACAGAGATGTTAGTAAGAAAACATGATTAAGAAGGGGGAAAAAAGAAAGTAAAATCATAATCAAATAGATCTCCAATTTTTTACTAGATCATTTTCCTTTAAACGTGAGTTTGAAATTTTAATGAAATTTTAAAAAGTAAAGTAAAATACATTTCGAAAAGAACCTTATTTTCACAACTCAACTAAGACTTAAACAAGAATTTTTGTTTTTGCTTTTTTTTTAAAAAGAAAATGAAATGAAAACTTATTGTTGAACAATATAATAATTGTCAAATGAATTCTTAATAATTGAATAAAGGATAATTAGTTTTATGTAAACCACTTATCATCTAGATTTGCTTAATCAATCATATGATTCACTTTTTTTAGTTGAATCATTAATTAACTTTGTTGGCTTTGATCTATCATTGAGAATTGAAATATCACAAATTAATTTGATTTTAGATAACCAATGTAGACCCTAAACAATCCTTTAACAAATTGATTTGAGTGATGCTAATATAATTACATTATTTTTTTTTTTATGAAATAGAAATTATGCAGTAGTCATTATAAAAAAGTTATGTGGGTTAATTTGAATATAACTCAACTAGTTAACATCTTAAAAGTTGATAGTTTTATTCCTACCTTAAAAATGGTTAAACTTAAAAATGAAAAAAAAAACATTAATGCAAATTCATTTCCCAACCGAGCTTTTCTAAATAATTTTCTTAATGGGCTGATTATAAAGTCAGCCCAAGTTCTATCAGTTCCGTTTTCTGAGTTGGGCCCGGGGTTCATGGATTGATCAATGGCCTCAAAAAAATAAAAAAATCATTTTACTTATCTGAGTTTAACCATGGCTGAAATGGATGATATTCTTTGTAATTGTTTTATAATTGTATCTTATCTACTAAACTATGATTTGATTGATAGATAAAAAAGACTCAGATAACTTATTTTTAAAATAAATTCAAATAATATGTTAAATGACATTTATATTTCCCATTTCCCATTTTTAATTTCTTAATTTCTATTTTTTAGAAAGCAAAATGTAACACATATTTAATAATTGTTTCTTTTTCTAGAAAGTTATTTAACTATGAGGAAAAAATATTTTAGTAATTGTTGTTAAAACAATGTTGCTTCTATATCCCAACACTTGTATATGCATCTTCCTAAAAAATTTTTTTTGAAAATATCCGTCACATTTCTATTAAATTATTTACAATAAACAAATTATAGTAACAATTAAAGTACTAACTTATACAAAATTTAAGAAGTAAAACATAATATTGAATATAAAAACCAAAATAAAATAAGAGATTAAATAGAATTTAAGCCTCTATAGCCCATTAATGGAATTAGGAAAAAAAAAAAAAAGGACATCCACAAATGCGCTGGATACCATATGTGATTTGTAACAATCTTTTTATCCTATAGTTTTCATATATCTTGGTGGTTGGAGATATATGTCAATTACCGCTGAACTAAACTCGTTTTAACGTTTTTCTATCCAAAAGATAGTTGTTTTTATTCTTGGTTGTTGGAGATATATGTCAATTACCGAACTAAACTCATTTTAACGTTTTTCTATCCAAACGATAGTTGTTTTTATTCGTAGAATTTGATTGTGATGTATGGTCACTGCTCTTCTAATGTAATCTTTAGTGATCCTATTTTTTGTCAATACAGTGTGTTCGTCTGATAAATACAAATGAAAAAAAAAAAAAACCCTGTGTGATACATCACAATCTTTTTTATCATGTAGTTTCCATATCTCATTCTTTTTCTGTTCATTTTATTTTAGGGTGAATTCTTACCAAAGTTCTATTCGAACAACAAGCTTTTCCACATCTTTAAAATGGTATAACATTATACATTATGAATCTAAGCCCTTACTTTAGGATCAAACCGTATTAACAGAGTGACTACCCTCAAGAACGAAGAGCTATTTACAACCAGCTTCCAAAGATTGAACCAAAAGAAGACAACCAATTTCTTTCATGTAAAATCAGCCATGAACTGACCTTAGATTTATTGTAAAAAGTACAAAGCTCTGCATCAGATTCAACAGAAAGCACTCTATATAAATGAAGAGCAACAAAAGAGAATAATGCCCATTCTCTGAACCTTCTCTATGATAAACAAAAGAAGAAAAAAAGTGTAGAACTATAAGTTATCTGAAAGGCACAATCAGCTGCAAATGGGACAAAGGACCAAGCCATTTTCATTGCAATCTGGGCACTTGATAACCACAGCCCTCTTCCCCTGTTGTTTCATTGGCATCACCAATTTGCAGCTCCCACTGCACCGAAAACAGGGCAGAAATCTTGCATTCCCACACCCTTCACAAACTGACCCACCTCTGATTTTGGGCAGCCCTTGAAGCAGCTCCCCCACAGCTCCTTCTTCTACCATTTTCAGCACTTGTTCCCCATTCCCTATGTACCTTCCTCTTATGAACACTCTTGGGGGAACCATAGCTTCTGGCCCTCTCCCTTTCATCAGCTCCTTTAGCTCTTCCCTGAACCCGCGATCCATCGACACGTCTCGCTCGCAGATCTGCACTCCGGTGCCCTCTATCGCTGCTCTCACTGCGTTGCACTCCTCGAACGTCTTTCGTATCCCGCGTAGAGTCGTCGTGTACACCACCACCCGGTTCTCCCCGCTCGGCGGGCAGAGCCTCTCGAACCTTGATAAGAACATGAATAAATGAATTAAAGGATTGAATATACTCCCCAATCTGAACTTTCGTATTCGTACATGTCATTTCCCCTCTAATTAATAGAGCGTTAAAAGAATGAGAATAAATGAGTAAAGATTAATAGAAAGAAGTAACGATTTAGTCCGTAGCTAACGATTAACTCCTTGAAGTTGACCATTTCTAACGGTGTAATCCTTAAACTTTAGCATAGATTAAAAACGATATAGTTTTTATGATGAAAATTCTTGTAAAGGTGTAATGAGATTTCTTAAAGATGTCGATTGATAATTGGCATAGAACCAGATATATTTTGCAACTATATGGACAATGAATGATAGTTTAATATACCTGTCCAGCAAATGCTTTGCCGGAGAGGGTATCGTGGCAGGGGCGGTGGCAGCGGCCCGAGACGACGGTCCGAGGATGGTGGATTCGAGGATGTGATTAGGGCAATTGGGGTTAGAATTTTCGTTGTTGGAATGAGGGTCTTTGAGAGCGAAGCGTTTGGATTGTGGGAGAAGAGAGAATCGGAAACTATCGGCATCGAGGCCATCCATGAGCTCCCAGGAATTGATAACCTCCGGCTCGGGGCACGCCGATTTGGGCTCACACAGAGGACTCGAGAACACGGAGCCGAACGTGAACCGCGGCGCGGCGGGCGATTGAATCGGAATCGGCGGCGGATCGAGATTGAGGAGGCCATAAGTGGTGGAGGTGAGCGAGACGATGTGGTGACTCAGAGCCGAGCTTCCGAGTTGGGCGAATTCGTCGTCGTGATTCAGAAGATGGGAAGAAACACAACCCATTTTGGGAAACTCAAAATCAATGGAAACTAGAGAGAGAAAGAGAAAGAGTTTGATTCAAAATTGAAAGAAAGGGTGTGTGTGTGTTGTGTTTTGATTTGATTGAGTTTGGGCGCTAAAATTCAATTCAATTTCAAGTTCAAACGGTGGCATTGGGGATGGGGAACTCATTCGAAGTGCCATAATTGCTTTAACAAATTCGATTTCTTTTAGCTTTTACCAACTGCTTTGGTCAGCCCCACCAAAGTACACTCTTCCATTTATTACTTTGCTTTGTTTTGTTAGAACTTACAAGGCCTTGGCCCAAATCTTTGTGGGCTTTTATTAGTCTCTCTTAGTTTAAGTCAATTTATCTTCGGCGGTGACTGTAAATCTAGCCTAGTATGTATCGAGAGAGAATAATGGGTCGTAGGAAAATCAAAACGTCTCGTGGAGTCCATTGGATATTTTAGAAGGAATGAATAAAAATAATAAGTATCAACGAATAAACAAGGTGATTAAGTTTAAATCTCATATAAGTAATGGTTGTTGGTTGAATCGTCATAGGCGATGAAATTGATTGAATCTAGCAGGATGAGATAAAAGATGGTGAAGAATTAGGGTAGTTGTCCTCTAGTTTACTTAGTTATTTTTAATGATTTGTTGAGTTGTTTATGCAATTTTTCTTTTGTAAATAAAAACTAAAAAACGATATAATAATTAATACATTAATGACGCATCTACTCAACTTTTTGTTGGTTTTAATAATGAAAAGTTGATAACTTACGTGTAAAAGATCAAAATGGAAGGTTTTCTAAATTTTAAGATCAAAAATGTCAAGTTTCAAAAATCATGGATAAAAGTGAAAGTGACAATTATGTTCAAATTAAGTGACTAAACACACAGTTTTTATTTGAAAAATAAAAAAAATCAATAACAACGTCTATAACTAAGGTTTTAAATGATATCGATGAAAATGCCGATGTCTCAATTTCATGGAAATATCAATATCGAGAAAAATTAAAAGAATCGTAAAAAAAAATATTTAAATGAACAAATAAACATTTTCCTATTTCTAAATTAGTAAAAAATAATTAATCTTAATATTAGGAAATATTAGTGACATTTTGTTGATATTTTTTGTATTTTGTCGATTTTCTTGTACTATGACGAAAATATCGATTTATTCCTCATATCGATGTCAAAAACCCATGAAAACATAAATATGTTGAAGGGAATGTCGACGTATCGAGAGATATTTAAAACCATGTATATGACATAATCAAATATTTGGTTTCCTTGAGAAAATTATCAAAAGATTACACAAAAACCTAAGAATCATGCCATTACACCTTCCAATGTATAGTACATAACTCAATTTAGTCTTTTTGTTTTCTTCAATTGAACTATGACGTGCATTCTATAGTTGCAATGTATATCCATATCACAAATCACTCATCAGAGCTACATAAATGTTACTGCTTTCCAACTCAATTTCAAAATTAACCACATTAATTATTCTACGAAATGAATAAGTTCTCCACACAAACAACTTAAACATTATTTTCGTTTGAAGTTAAAGACTAATTTTATGTCTTTTTTAGGATTAAGAGTGTGCCCGAGGGCTAGAGCAATGCAATTATAAGAACTTTAAGTGATACGAGATTTAGGCATTTCACTTCCCCTTCTTTAATTTTGTTAAAAAAATTATTATATTTGCACAAACTCCAATATTTCATCTATATATTATCGGTTAAAAGATTAGATATTTAAATTCACAGCAAAAAATCTAATATTTTATCTATAACTTTTTATATTTAGAAATTATACTTTATTTCTTACCAAATTTTAAAATATATTTCTCTCATAAACACATTAACATCTTAGTCAATGTACGATATGTATTGCGGTAAATCAATAATGTAAAAAACTAACGAGCATGTGATCTCTTGAAAGAAGATAAGAGAGGAGAAAAGGCATGTGAGGAAGTCTTGAAAAAGACGAAGAGATTGGTGGAATGGAATTTAATTCGCAATAGATTTGTTTATGTTCTATCTGACAAGAATTTTATTTATTATTTTTAAAAATTAAGTTTGTTCATTATATATTATCCTATTTTGTTCTTTACCCTTGTTAAAAAAAAAAAAAATTTTTGCATTTTAGTCCACTCTTAAAACTAATATATATATATATTTCAAATTTGAACTACAATTTATGCACAATATGTTTTTATAAAGTAAATTAACTTTACCTTGAAACTTTATATATATATATATATATATATTCATTTTAATCTTTACTATACTTGGAATCATTTTGCCTTAGTCTATGAGATAACCACTTAGTCTTTGTAGTTTTTTGGAGAACCATTTCTCATTTGTTGGAGAAACGATGTATATATAGGAATGCCTCCTAAGTCATTCCTCCGTAGGACAATGATACCCCAAATATCCTGAATATCTGCACATTCCTCTTACAAACCCACATAGCCCTCTGATACTAATATAATGGAATATTTTCAACCTTTATAGTTGACTCGGTATATCTCTACAATGCATCCTCTTTGATTCGTGGTTTTTTTATCCTCAGGGTATGTATCCATCTTATCTTTTTTTTTTTTCCTTGAAAAATCTATTATTTCTAAAGATAGCGATTAAAGTTTTGAAGGTAGTTCTCAACCATTTCAAAGAGTCTGGGTAAGGTGACATAGAAAATGATTTGTATGAACCAAGTTCAGAGAGTAAAATGTTGTTACCTTTGGTGCGTTTATCCAAAAAAAAGTTTAAACTCCTTATAATTAAAGAAGCAAGAACGCGTGGAAAGTGTAGAAGGTGGGTCATTGTCCTGCCGGTGGTATTGTCTTTCACTGTTCACTCTCACTTCTCTATGCAAAAGTTGAAAGACTGAAAGAAAACATTTAAAAGTTTAAGAATCATATTACATCCGATTACAAACCTCAACTTGTTAGAGAACTTAGACTTTACAAATAAAGAAACTAAAAACAGAGCTATATATTATTACTCAATAATCCATCCTCAAAAAACCCAATTTACGTCTATAATTGAACTATCACTATCACTTTCAAATGAAAACCGATTAAAACTCAACAAAACCTACAATTACTCTATACACATAAATCTCTTCCACAGCCATCTCAAACCCAAGCCCAAGCCCAAAACCAAAAAGCAAAAATGCAAAATCTTCCTTATTTTCATCAGTTCATGCGACTATTCCCCAAAAAACTAAACAATCATTCAATCCACATAGATCGAGTGTGCTGTCAATAAGGAAAAAAGGAAAAAAAAAAACTAAAATTATGTAATAATGAGGTTGTTGGATCTGACAGCCCCTTTATGTTTGAGTAGAACCCTAAGCTGAGACTTTTGGCACTCCAACTTGGCGTCTGAATCTCTACCCTTCGATCCCTTCCCTCGAACCACTCGCCGGAATTCCACAAACCCTTTAATTCCTCTAACAATGTGGGGGTTTTCCAGCTCCGGCGAGGCCTTTCTCGGAATCTCCATCATTTTGGTTTCGCTCTGATCTCCCACGGCGGCGGCCGATCGTGTGGGTTGGTCCGCCGTTGAAGATCCGCCGTTGATCTCCGCCGTCTGTTTCAATCTGCCGGAAAATTTGGTGATGGAATCGGAGAATGTGTTGTTGTTGCTGCTTCCTGCTTCGAGTTCTGAAAGCATGTCTTCGAACACGATTTTTACTTCTGCGAGCTTCATTTGAACTCTCTCTTCTCGCAAAACCTCAGCCAACCTAATGAAAAGTCGATTAAATTTATGGAATTTTGGGTTTGGATACGGTATTAGAACAGGAACTTCCGAGTAATTCCCTCACTTATAGATGGGAGGAAAGGAAATGATAAAGTAGCGTTTGAACACAGTAACTCCATAAATTCAGAAAGTTAAGCGAATGGTTTAGGGTAAATTTAATTAGAAATCTAACAAATTTCAATGTTCATAATTAATTGTTGTGTCTAATTTAGTACCTTAAGGATTTTAGTTAAATTAGTTGGGATTTAACAAATATTCCAATCTCATTTTGGTTTTTCTTTTTTGAATTTGTTATCCAACCTTTTAAAATATCTATTTTGATTATTGATTTTTCCTTTAAAGAAATATTTTTAATCATTTCAAAATGTTTTCCTAACACTTAGTGTTGTCCTACAAATTTAGCAACCAAAATATAGAATAAAAAATTAGAGATAAAAATGAACAGTCTAGAAGGTTAGAGACAAAATCGAAAACAAAAATCTTGAAAACCGAAGAAGACTAGACTTAACATTAGTATATTCCTCTCTTCCTCAATCTCTTAACCAAGCTATATAACTTCAACCCTCCTCGATGATACATTATTCATTTGTTAAAGCAAAATAAAGGTAAGAAAAAGGAATATTTTTTAAAAAAGTTTCAGGGACTGAAATAGATATTTTAAAAGTAAAAGACCAAAAAATTGGGAGACTAGATTTAACCTTAGCATCTTCCTCTCGTCCTCAATCTCCTTTTTCATGAGATCAATCTGTGCTTGATGCGAAGAAATCTGAGTAGCCAGGTCTTGACACAGCCCTTCCATGGCTTCTCTTCCTTTCCTCTCTTCATCCAACTCCCTAGCCAGCCTCTTTGCCAAAGACTCCATCTTTTTTCGAGCCTTCCGCTCATAGCGAAGCTCGGTCTTCAGCTCCGCGATCTGACTCCGGGCCAGATCCAGCTCGGAATCCATTCGGCTTTTGCTGGGAATCAGATCGCACAAGGAGAAAGAAGAAGAAGAAGCTGAAGCTAGCTTCAGACAATAATGGAGGTGCTTGTTAATGGCGGATTTATGAAGGATTTGAGGGTGTGGAGGGTTAATATAAAATGGGTTCTCGTAAAGTTTCCAGCTTGGGAAAGTGGAATCGGAGATGGGTTTATGATCAGGAGAAGGATCCGTCTTCATCATCGTCTCCTCCATGTCTTCTACTTTTTGAAGCTCTTTTTTCTTCTTCTTCTTCTTTCTGCTACTTTTTTTTTTCCCTCTCTTTTGTGAAGAAAGGTAGTGTGGTAGGTCCATTGGGTCATGAATTTTGCTTTTGTGAGAATGTGGGATCTGTAAAAAGGAAATAATGGCTCCATGTCACATGCACCTCTTGCTTATTAATTTCAGGATCCAGGGAAGTAGGTTTCTCTCTTATCTACCTTAATAATTTTTATCCATGGCCCAAACCAGTCAATCATTCAAGTTATTTTTCAGATATAGCAGATTTGAAAATGACAAACCTCTTTTAATAATATATTTATAAACGAGCAGTAGTTATCCATTAAATATTTAGTTTAATTTAAAATAATATTAATTAATTTATTAACATTTTTTTATAAATTTGGTATAATTATTAATTTTCAATGTTGTATAACTTATAATATATTATATTTTAGGTGTTTTAATTTTTAACAAATTTTAAAGTTTCAAATTCAAAACAAGAAAATACTGAAAATGAAAATATAAAAGGTATCTAGATTGCGAACTAAACAAAACGACCTTGATTGGGTATAAATCTCATTTTATTATTTTTAACTCTTTAAGTTTTATTTTGATTTTATTTTTGTTTGTTTTAATATTTGTAATTTCAAAATGTTCTTCAATGATACAAATTTAGGTTTCAATAACGTTTAAAAAAATGTAACGAAAAGGTTTCGTGATGTCTTTTCGACATCATTGTATACCAAGAAAGGGTATTCGTGACGGGGGATTAGAAACGTCACAAAAAAAGGTATTGTTGCACCTCTGCTTAATAGCTAGAGGGTAGAGTGCAAGTGCACACTGTCACAAGTAATAATATGAAAGTACTCCAAATTCGTCTCCACAGAGACTAGTTTTTCTTTTAAAATTGAATTTGAAAACTGCTGGAATGAGCAATCAGGTTTGTGATAAAAATGGGTGAAATTGGTTGAACACGAAAAATACACGAAAATAATAGAATTTAAAAGGACAACCCCCTACTACTATTTAGTTCTAAAATGATGAATTATACCTACCAAATGTGCCCGTAATTACGCTTAATTTATGCAAACTGGTTCAACTCCTATTCCACACCGCTTTTGGTTTGTTTAGAAGTTTAGGTTAGTGTTTACATACGTCTATGCAACTCTAGAATCCTAAATAAATTAAATATCAACTTACGTTTAACGGGTAAGAGAGCCTATGTCTAGGATCTTGTTTTAGTTCTTATTGCTAGGTAACTTCCCGTTTTACCTTGATGAGATCCGTTTAACTCTAGCCTTCTCAGAATTAAACTCAAACTAGTGTGATTTAAACAAGTGGCCAACAAGAAAATCAAATGGATAAATTGTATCAATTAAGATAAGCAAAGAGAGTGTAATACGCCGTGCTCACTGATAGATGTAATTTAAAATAGATGAACTAAACCATTCGTAGGAGGGTTGAAAATTTAATTTAGCTACTCATGGAATTAAAATAAATGCAATAGCAAAAGAAGATAACAAAAGAATGTATTTTCATTGAATCGGGAAAGAAGAACACAAATTAGAGTAACTAGAATTGCGATAAAATAAGCAAGGAATAATTGTAAAAACAATAAAGGAAGAACAAAACTTAAAGTTGGAATTAAAACTTAAAAGCTAAAGTTGATAAGAATTTAGAAAGAAAAAGCAAAGCATGGAAAATGAGACGTGTATAAGTGATGTTTGGAGACTCCTCTTATAGACCATGGAAGTAACAAGGATTTGAAAAATTCAAGGGAAGTTGGATAGTTGTTGTAGAGATATTAGGAACTAATAACAAATCTTTGACCAATTACTTGGTCAAAAGTTGTTATTCTCGTTTTGACAATCTAGGCATCGAATGTGGCTGAAGCATTGTGAAGCTAGAACTTTCAAAATAACTCGGCTGACTCATTCCTAGAGTAAGCTAGAAATTTTGGTCCTACAATGTGCGTGACGCATTTTGATCATCAATCTTCACTTTTCCTTACAAAATAAGCATATTTACACAAATTAGCCTTCATTTACCTATAATTGAATTCCAAAGTCTCTAATCACAAATTATGCACATTTTCCCTAAATTATATGCATGAAAATACATTTTTCATCCCAGATAATCGTCAACTAGCATACAAACCTATCCTTTTTAACCTTAAATCAAGTCTTATCAGGTATGTAATGACAGTTAAAAAACGTATGCAGAGCTAATTACAATTAATTGAAGCCCAAATTTGTGGTATGCATTTTGATTTGTGTACTTTGCTTTTGTACACATTTTAACCCATGTAATTTTCAAACATTTGTTTTGGTCAATTTATTTTTTTTTCTTTAATCTCATTTTTACGGTCACAATTTAAGTACAAATACTTTCTTGAATAATTTTTTTTTTCCGGGAGAATCATTGAATAAATTTCTTAAAATGTAATCATAATTTAAAATTAAGATTTTTTTATTAGCTATAGAATATGTGTTGACATTTTGCATGCAAAATGGTTACTTTAAAAAAAAAAATCAAAATAGAGTTTTGAAAGTAAAAAAATAAAGTGGACTAAATATAGAAATTAAAATGAAATAAACTCGAAAAGAAATATTTTAAAGTTTCAAGGACTAAAATAAAATTAACATAAAAGCTCAAAAGTAAAATAGAATTTAAAGTTTGTTTTAAAAATTACCTCAAAATCAAACCAAATTGACAGAAAGACAAATTCTAACCAAAACAAACTAGAAATTCATTTCAATTTTATACTTACAAAGTCAAGCTTAATTGATTATATTTTTTTCTCTGTTTTTTTTTAAATTTTAACTTGTACCCTAAATCAAAACATGTTAGAGGTTGTAATATTTACATTTTTTTAAGTTTACATTCTCATAGTCAAACATATGTTGTTAATTTTTTTTTCCCTTGAAAAATTGTGTTACAAAAATTACAAACAATACTTAAATTGGTGGAAATTTTTTGGAATTCAACTCAGAGAGTTTCTCCAAGAATTTATGTATACTAATGAGAAATTACAATTTTATACTCTTCCTATGCATAAAAACCCTTGAAGGGATTTCTAAAAGATAAAAAAACATAAAAAATAAATTCCTATAAGGAAAGATAGGCATTTGGGCTAACTATTGTTTTAACTTGAGATGGGCCTCAAACATAAATGGGCTTTGGGCTAACTATAGTTTAACTTGATATGGGCCTCATAACCTAAATGGGCCCTTTGGCTAGCTATAGTTTCTTGAGATGGGCCTCTTAAATAAAGCTCATTTAGGTTAATATGGACTAAACTTGCTGAAAATGGTGTTTGTTTTCTACATATGTTGGGAAGACGACGAGTGCTCTAGTTCGTTGTTTAACGTTGGATTTAAACGATGATGTTTTTATCATAAAATGTTTTGAGAAAATTCCTAACCACGAAATATGTTATAGAAGCATATATGACATCTAAAACCTTCTGCATCAAAAAAAAAAATGTGGAGGTTTACTCTTTAAATTTATTATATTTTATTTTTTAAATACACCGTAGATCTTTCAATATATCTAAGTAAATAAGAGGATATTGCACGATGATGATTTTCTAAGCTTCTGAAGAGGTTGTCTATGCTTTTCCCGACACTCATTGCGTTGGAGAAAGTATATATACAGTAATATTTCCGTTTAATTGATTAATTAAAAATTTTATATGAAATTAATTTCTTAAATTGAATATTCAAACTTGTTGTGTTATTATTACTTTTTAATATTTATTATGTATTTTATAAGTCAATAATGAGAAAACAATAATTTTATTTATGTTTTGGAAAAAATTAGAAATGAAAAAAAGAAACAAAAATTTTGATTTTATTGTTCACAAAATTTCTATACATTTTTTGGAATGTTTCTAAAAAATGAGGAACAAGAAACCTAATAGAAATATTAGATTTCCACAAGAAATTAAGGAAGAATATAAACATTATGAAAAGAGCCCTTAAATTTTCAAGCTAGGGATAAAGGAGTGCGTTAAATGAACAAGAACAAAACGTACCTAACATGGCCACCATTTGCATTTCAAAGTAGTGTTTCAAAGTAGCTAAAAACACGTCTAAAAGTACCTAAAATCTAAGGCACTAAAATAAACTCGAAACTCATCGACTCATGTCTCCTCCAAATGGCTCCTAATTAGATACCAAAATAAACTCAAAACACACTACCCCACCTCTTTTGAACTCAAAAAGCGAAATGGTCCTTTAAGTTGCCAAAATCTCATCCGATATCACAAACCCACACCCCTTTAACTTAGCCCTAGCCCGACTAAAATGGTGTTTTAGGGGCTAAAATGAAACGTAACTTACACAACCCACTCCCTCGACTTCGACTTAACTAAAATAGTGCTTGATGAGGTACGAAAATAAACCCATGCCAAAGTATGTAAACTCACCTCCCTTAAACTATACCTGACTAAAATGAACCTAAAACACACAATAATCCACCCCTTGAGCTCAACTTAACTAAGAATGTTGCCTAAGATGCCATAAGTGGTCTATGCCGACAAAATTAGAATGTATTTGAAAAAAATTTCTGTCGCATAGCTTCAAATTCTTGTTGAGATGTCATATATCAACTAATAATGTACTGGAATACAATGATTTTGTTATAAAAATAATATATATTCAAAATATTAAACATAGGATTATGACAAACAACGACTCGTCCTCCTGCGCCAACATATAAATGATATTGATGTGTGATTAACACAGGTGAACCTTGATAGTGTCAGATCTAAGATCGTGATGACTTAACGGAGGTCATGACTTGTATAGAGAACTCGCACTAGTAAGGTGTTGTATACGTAACACACTCCGATACTTAAATTAGTTATTCATAGGGAATATAGAGGCATGACTGATGGGTTCCACAATTTCAAATCTTTCCCTAAGCTGAGGTGGGACTCGTCGCGTGCTGAGCCGAGGTGTTTGATCAGGACCCCTAGTCTAGGGTTGTGCTCTCCATGTGCTGAGCATAACCATATTATTTGGGTCTGGTGCCTTTACTAGAGCTACCAAAGACTGGTCGATTAAAGGGGAACCATACACTAAACAAATTTGGATCCAAGAAGGAAAATGGAAGATAATTAAAATGGAGTATTTATTAAGCCAACCTCCTGCTTTTGATTTGTTTTCTCATTAGACTTTTTTTCCTTGAACAGTTTCACTTTTAAACAAGTCACCAACTAATTTTGTGGGTTTTTATATTTGGGTTAAAAATGACATAAATATTGTCATTGACTTGTGTGTTTTCAACTAATTTGAAATGCCATTTTTTAATTGAATAATTTCTCTTGTATTATTTTGTTCTAAAAAGCATTATTTCTGATCACTTGGAACACAAATACCATCCCAAAACACACTTCAAATATATTTCATTTAGTTCAGTGGTAGAGCATTTGAATGCAAATATATTTCATTTAGTAAAAATATTACTGCATCAATATCAATATCTTTTTGCCATTCAAATATCAGTTACAAATACTATGATATTGTTCAGTTTAGTTAGTCTAACTCAATATAATTTTACTTTCAAATTCTACCAAAAGAGTACAAGGATTAGTAGAGAGATTCTTTTTAATTACTAATAGATGTCAGTAGGGGTGCAGGAAACTTCCCACAATCAGCTATACAAAGAGAACACCACGAGTATATAAATGAAAGATAACATCTCTATCAATATGAGACGTTCAGGTGAAATCAAAAGTAAAACCACGAAAACTTATGTCCAAAGTAGACAATAACATGATAGAATATTACGAAAATGTTTGTTGTCCTTAATGTTTGACTTACATAGTTTAGGTCAGTTGAGATTTTGTCTTTGCAGTTCCTCTGCAAGCATTGATTCGTCAAGGCCCTATGAGTTCAGAAGAATGGATCTCCCAAACTGACAAAACATAATTAAGAGTCATGCATGGCTCTAACTGTATAAAAAACCATAATTGGCTAACTTCTAACCACACCCACACGGTTCTGCAGAGACACATGTTGAAGACCCTCTCTGTCCTTTTGACTAAAGGCTTCTCTCGTAATTCGCCGATGCATGTCAACGAACAAAATGACGAGACAAATAACTCTTTTATATTTTTACAATGGTACGATAATGTCTATTTTAGATTTGAATCTCTATGATTTTATTTTTTATCACCTAAAAATAGACCCTATCAATTAAAAATGTTCTTCTTATTTATATATCATAGATATTTTTTACTCCGACAAGATAAAAAGAAGCCGTATATCAAAAAAGGAAAAAAAATAAAAAATCACAAAGAAGACACTCTTTGCATGCAAGCTGCCCACAAGACATGGGATTCTATTTAAAGATCACAGCTCATTTTGTCTTTGAAGCTGCCAAATCCAAAGTCAAAGCTTCTATATATGTGTAGTTTGATGTAATTTCTCTCTCTTTTTCCGACGTGCACAGACTTTAATTTGGGATACATAAATGAAATCCAGTTACCCCATCAATGTGTTTAAATAATTTGATCAATGGGCTTACAGGTTTAGTGAGAGAAAAGTTGGAGACAGTGAAGCAAATTTATGGCAGAGAAAAAGGTCAAAAATGGTATGACCATTAAAGAGGAGCAGCTAGAAAAGTCAAATGAGATGAAGGGGGATCGGATATCTCGTTGCTGTATATTTAATGTCTTCCTTTTGTGACATGCCACGTTCCTCGAGTTGACTCTACTAAGCTTATAATGATCAAACCATCCTTTCACTTGGTTTTTTTTTGTTTTTGTTATTTTTTTCTTTCTCGTTGTTGTTTTGTTTGTTGCTCTCGGTTGAAATCTCATTTTAGTCTCAAATCTTTTAAGTTTAATTACTGAACTTTTGAAATGTGTATTAAAAAAAGACCATTGTAGATGTTGATTTATGTGCAGACTTCTTGTTGGTATGACGTACCACAAACGTCTTTGTCCTTGAGGTCATAGTTACCTACACACAAAAATCTAATACACTGGTGTGGTGCTGTGTATCGACGCACTCCAATGCTTAAATTAGAATCGAAATTGTAAGTAGATGAATTTGGAATAAATAGAGTAAAAAGATAATAATCTCAAGGGTGAGAACGTGCTTCGAACGTGTGCCGAATTCTCACATGGAATTGTGTAATAAAAAGACTACTTACCTTGAGTAAGATTGCTCTCTTCCTTATATATGGAAAGAGAGAGAGTGGGTAAGCTTGAGAGTGAGGGGTGGAGACAGGAGGGCGGTGTGCCACGTCTTGGTCTAATGGGGACCATCGAACAACTTCTTTTTCCCTCTATACACCGCAAGTGGAGACGTGACAGTATCCTGGGTGATCCTCTAAAACGTATTACAGTTTTTGATAAAGGATGTTAGCATCCTGCTTGCTGACTATTCTTTGTATGGAGCTCAATTGGGTATGTTGTGTTCAATCTTTTGTGGTTCCTCTTTGACGCAGTCTATGTAGGCAGACAGAGCTTGCAACGTGTGTGGCACCCCGATTTTACTTGATAACAGCAATTATGATCTTTATGTTTATTTTTGCTTTTATCAAATGTGAATTATATATATATCTTTGAATATATATGTATTAATGTGCCAACATGAACAACTATTAAAGCTACATATATAAGTTTGATTAAAACGAGTGCGACTAGTGACTAAATATTAAAAAATAAAATAGTTATTTTAAAAATTTTGGGACCAAAATAGAAAAAGTCGTGGATGTTAAAAGAACCATAAAATGGAATTAAAATTTGTTTTTGGAACAATTCCTAGATTTTGCTTTACTAGCCTTTAACAACATGATCTAATGAGAAATTATTTAGGTTTAAATGTCATTTTTGTTTCAAATTTTCAAATTTATTTTATTGTAGTTTTTTAACTTTCAAAATAGACATTTTGATCAATAAAAATTAGAAGAAAAAAAGAACTTTCAAATATTGAAAAAATAACAATTATTTAAGTCCATATTATATGAATCTTCCGTTTATTATAATCTATCCATTCAGTACCTACAGCAATCAACTTATATGGTTCCAACTCGTGTAGGTTAAGAGGTTAATACACATTCAAATCATATTAATTATCTATCAATTAAACAATTAACGACAAAGAAAATCATGAAGATGAAAATGGTTTACCTATTAAAATTCAGAAATCAAAGTAGAATTAACTTCAAAGTTTAAATTTTAAAATAGTCATGATTTTGAAATTAATTCAATGATCCTGAACCCTTCGGATAAAATGAGATATAAACAAATTGTTTAATATGTGACTAGTATAATATACATCATATATAAAGTTAGATATACTAGAGGAATTTAAAAATATCTTATATCGAAATAATTATAAAAGTAATTGGATATCTAATATAGACATATATGTAATTAATATGTTGATGCGTAAATTTGGCCAAACATAATAATGAATTTCACACAACTCTTCTGGAATAAAATGATTCGATGAAATTTACAAAAGAAGAGAGATTACACATTGGTGTAGTGCTAGCTATCACACATACTCACTTATCCTACATCGATTTATGAGATTTTCCTCTCTATTTTCTAGAGGGAGAGATCACCTAATGTATTCTCAATATCTTCTCCTTTCAAGTTCAATAAAGATAAAGAATTCACATCGAAAAGCTTCCCCTCAAGTTTGGCCCCTTGGACAAAAACCCCAAGTCTCATATTCTTCGATCGTTTTTAGTACAAAGACATTTATTCCGTGCTACTTAACTCGACTTTTTATGTAGCTTGCTTCTAGATTGAGGTTATTTTACCCCTAACAAATATGATTATCTTAGATAGATATTTAGATAAATTGTGGTTTAGTATAAATCAACCATCATTACATAAAATAAAATATAAAATCAGATATTAGTAAATTGTAAAACCAAAATTACATATTTACCCATATCAAAAAAGGAAAAGCCTTAAAAAGTTTTGCCCACCAAAACCAGGGTATGGCCAATTTCGTCCATTTCTAAGCCCTTTGAAGGCTTCAAACAATGACACTAATGCAAACAAAAAATTACGTTAGAAGACGACTGCTTCCTATTCCCATTGGCGACTACTTCAAATCGCAGTTTGAGAACATGCACATGCTATGCTTCTCTTGCAAATGTGATCAAGTTTTTTCACTTCATTATTTAACCAAAATGTGGAATGAAGGAAAATGTTCATCAAAATGGAGTTTTCTAGATCTCACTTTATAACTATAATGTTAGTTGTTTCGGCCATGAACTTCTTGTCGTGTCTTTGTCTAACGACATTCGTGTTTGGAGATTCGCTCGTCGATGTTGGGAATAACGATTACATTTTCACTCTGTCGAGGGCTGATTCGCCCCCCTACGGCATCGATTTCAAGCCCTCCGGCGGCCAACCCACCGGAAGGTTCACCAACGGTCGGACTATTTCTGATATTATTGGTAATGTGGATTTCTTATTAAGCTTACCAGAAACACACCATTTTGAAATGTAATTTAGAGTTTAGAATAATTTTAGACAAAATTGGTGATTAACTTAGACCCATTTTGATAACATTTTATGTTTTTAGTKTTTGATTTTTTTGTTTTTGATTTTGGATTTTTAGTTTGTGTTTTTAAAAAACAAAAAAGGGTACGGTATGATAACTATTTTTGTTTTTTGTTTTTGAAAACCTAAAAACCAAACCGATCACCATTTTTCTATTTCTAAAAAGTTACAAAGTTTAAAGTATATATTATAGAGCGAAAAATCTATATAAAGTAGAGATGACAATAGTGTGGAGTAGAAGTGAGGATCCCCTCTTCCATCCTCTTCTTGCAAAAATTTCTAATTCTCATTTCCACCTTGCTTTCCTATTCCAAGAATCGAGGTCCGAGTTCAAGAATCGTCACGATGAAAATTTTCATGAGAAAAGTTATTGGTTTAATAATAAATTTGATTTTTTTTATAATTTAAAAGATAAAAAGTAATAAAGATATATAATTTATATCTATTTTATTCAAAAATTATTATTTACTGATATAAATAATTAGTTTAAAAGATATTTAATATTTTATTCATAATTTAATAAAACAAATATATATTAATTATTTAGAAAATGAAATCGGGACGAGACATAGTGGAAACTGTATTCTCTGTTCTTAGAACCCTACGAGAATTTTTGTCATCTCTAAATGTAGAGACATGAAAATAAGAGTTTAGAGAGATAATATAAATTTTGAATGAGAAACTTTAGCGAGAGTAAATTTGAAAGAGTAAAGTTAAAGGACAAAAATAAAAAATCTTAAGTTATAAGTAAAAAGGAAAATTGAATGAGACAAAATTTAGATGGAGAAAAATTGAAAGATATATTTGTTAGAGAAAAATATAGAAAGAGTAAGAAAAGTTATAAAAGGCAAAATTTGAAAATGAAAAACCTTAAAATATACATATATTATACTTTTAGAGAAAGAAAGATGAGAGTAGCATGTTAGAAGAAAGATGAGAGTAGCATGTTAGAAAAAAATAAAGAAATAGAAATATATAGAAATGTAAATTTCAGAGGGAGAGAAATAATTGTAAATATTTTCAAGATGAAAATTATAGAGGGAGAAGAATTTTGAGAGAGAAATTTTGGTAAGAATATTTTAAAGAAAAAAAGTTACAGCATTAGAAGATAAAAAAGAAATTATGAAAACAGAAATTTGTTTCTGAAAACTATTTTTTTCCCCTTGAAATTTACTAAAAATTTCAAAAACAATCTTAAAAAACAAGCACGTTTTTTAAAAATGAAAAATCAAAAACTAAAACCAAAAACCAGAAAATGAACGAACTACTTGTCAAACGGGTGCTTAAATGTAAGTTTGGTGTAACTATAACGATGATGATTCCGTGTATTTGTTATTTTTTTTTGACCAGCTTAATTACGTTAG